GGTTGCTTAGAAACAAGCTGATGGCCGAGTCCAACAGTTATAGAAAACTTTCCGATGTCAGACTGATAGTGGTACGCACTGCCCAAGCTCAACCGAAGAAAACATCACACTGTCTTCATATCATACTTGAACCTTCAAGTTTCTACTCGACCCTAGACAGCTGCCATTCCTACTCCACGATGAGCTTGAACAGAAATTTATACAAACTTTTACTGCAAACTGCAGAACCTGTTTTATGCACTATACGGATTAAGACAGCTATTGCAGAAGGTGAGGAATGGGGATACCTGCTTCCAGAACTCGTACACCAGGTGATCTGATTAGTCCCTGCATACCAACAGTTGTAAATCTGTTCGGCTTACGCAAAGAAGTGATTGACGGAGTACAGGAAACTGCCCGCAGAACGCACTCTGAAATTTTTATGCCTTTCCTGCATCTGTGCAATGCAAAAACCCTAGAGAGGCTGTCTTTGTGTGTGTGATGACTGTCTGCGTCCGTACCGAGTTTCCATCACGAGAACTACAAAAACTACACGGCTGAAACTTTGGCAACTTCTGCACCAACACTGTGCCGTTCCTAGCCTCAAAACGAAAGACTTCGTCCATGTGGTTCTCACGCACGGGGAGGTGACTTTTTGGCGGGGAAGCGATTTCGGAAACGACGCAAGCTAGAAGTCTGAAAATTCACGAAGATGTCCCTTGCCCACGTCTGACCCAAAGATTTTAAATTCAGCCTCCAAGCACCCCTAAGTACGTACACGTCCAAGTCTAAACTGGCATCGCGTCGGTTCGAGAATTAATTTAACCAAAAAGTTGTAAGGAGCTGTAATTTTACAAATTTGCTTGCTGCCCACTGACACATTCATAAAAATAATTGAGCTTTCCAGCTCCTCTGATCTTACATACGAACATGTGAAATTTGACGTAAACACCTTCAGAAATGAAGTAGGTAGAAGGCTCAAACTTCTTGGACGTGGCCGACGGCTGCATTTGACCAGGTGGAAGTGAAAACAATTTTCATGTCCCTTTCACGTCTCACGCATGCAGCACGTACGAGCATGTGAAATTTAACGCAACTCCCCAACCGTAAGAGCTAGAGCGCTAAAAATTTCCGAACATGGCCCAGGACCCATGTTTGAACAAAGGCATGTAAAAACATTTATTATTCCTTCCCACATACTATCACATGCAATTTAACTCAACCTCGCAACTAAGACGGCCAGGGTGCTCAGGCTTCCTGAATGTGGCCCACCACCGTGTTTGAGCAGACATACACTTTCACACTTCCCTTCACGCGCGAACAACTGGAAGCTAATGTAACACCGCAACGAGAACGGCTACAGTATCGAAATTTTTACAGCTTGTCCGCTAAACGAGTTTGGGTCTGTCCCCCATCTACGAACATGAGGAATTTGATGTAACTTTACAACCAAAGCACCAAGAGCGCTAAAATTTTCTGAGCGCGGCCTCAGACATCATTCACATCATTCGCAAACAAGCACGTGAAATTTGACGTAACTCCGCAACCGAAGCATCTAGAGTACTGGATTTTTTTTCAGCATGGTCATCGCAAAGAGAGCACTGGGAGTTGTCACAATAATTTCTTACAGTTGTGATAGCCAAAGACGGAAAAAATACTGCCAATAGCGACAAAAATCTAAAGGAAAACTGTGCAAGAAACGCATTTTCGCACCTGCAGTCGTTGTGCTGTCAAATTATTACTAATGATATTAAAAAGTTTCTTAGATATCATATATAATAGTATATGATATATAAGAAAACGTTGTAGTTGCATACTTTTAAAGGCTGTACTTGCATACTTTTCCTTTCATATTTACAGTTGAATTCTTAGTTTTCATACTTCTACTCACACTCCTACTTTTTTGCATTTTAGTTCTCACTCTTCTTTAACCCTAATCAATCCCCTTTTTGTCAAATTTTTTACTACCGCCATACTGAAAAAATCCAGTTATAGTACTAAATAGAAACGTATGCGACTTAACAGACTAAAACATTCTTGTTTGGAATTATCATTCTTATTCCAGTTTATCCTCAGATTGTTTTGTTTCAAAATTGTTTTTTTTTAAATTATTTTGTTTTAAAATTATCAAATTCTCTTATATCATTCACCAAAGGATTGATAGGAGATGAATTCGTATAAACGCTGTACAGGAAGACAGACCTCGTTCGGGGCGTGGTACCGGCAAAAAAGTTGATTCGTAGCTTTCGCCAAATATTTCATTACTTACGGCCTAAAAAAAATACAATGCATGCGGTCAAAGGCGAAGTAAAAAATGAAAATGCGGGAAAAACCAATGCCTGAAGCAGGTCAGTGCGTTCGTATATGCTTTGCGGTGGCGGCGGCGGCGGCGAAACCACCGAGCTGCTTCCGCTGTTTGAAAGAGGCGTTGTTGCAGTTGCTGAAAACATTTCATAACAGTTTAGAAAACAAATTTCACAACAAAGGCTGCCGATGTATTGACGCAAGAAAGAGGAAAGATCGTTCGTACTCCACGAGAAAATCTCCTTTGAGTTATCTACAGCACTGCCTGACTCATCCCCATGAAATATCCTAGCATCCTCACAGAAATCGATTGCAACGGCTTTAAACTCTTTAACTCCTGCTACCTGGAAAATCTTGAATGCAGAGATATACAAGAAAATAAGAATGGGATAGCACGAATCCTGGAAGGGCAACTAGAGAGGAAGGCTCACATCTTGCGGGAACACGGGAGTATTGTCCATCAACCAGATCCTCTTGCGCATCCAGCTGCAAGCACATACTATTAAGTAAGCAGTCCGGATCACTGAGATTCGGCGCACTTAAGCCATTCTGTTCTGTATTGTTGCTCTCAGTGAGCACAGTAGCTCCATCGAACAAGAATGGATCCCAGAGGTCTGCAGAGCCGCCGCCGGCTAGAATAACATTTGTGTCATCCGTGCTCCTCAGAATGAGATCCAAATCGAGGTCGAATGGAGCGGCCTCCATCCACCTAAAAATCAAATCACTTTCGCATTCATTCCTAAAAATTTCGCCAACAAACATAGCGCAATGAGCAGTAATTCGAAGGTCTAACTCTGCCGGTGGGACAACCTATCCCTCTACAATTCATTTCCATGATAAACTGGTATTAACAACGCACTGGAGAGTCAAGTCCGCCACAAACTTGCTTGTAAGCAACCGGAGGGAGCAATCGACAGTCTTGCCAGCGGATGACCGCTGCTGGCATTTGCTAATACTCCAGCTGTTCCCCGAGTTCCTCCGCCTCATTGCGGATAAAACACTGAGGGAGTTTCGATTAAAAATATTAAGGGAATAAGCGTGAAAAAAAACAAGATCGACGATTCAAAGGAAAACGATAGCATGTAACGCTAAGTCGTATGTGATACGATTCTGCACTAATGGCAGACAAGAAGACAAAAAACAAATTTCTTTACTTAGTGGACAACGATTTCGAGGAAATGACACAACCGCTAGGCGGTAAAACACAGACAATAACAAAATAAAAATTTGCCAATGAGAGCACAGGAATTTACATAAATCGTTATCGCTTAATGATAATTCGTACAACACAC